AACTTGAGATGTAAGCAGGGAGTCGGGTCAGCGGAGCAGCAGGGGGGCCAACAGGCAATTGAGCCTGGGCTTCACCGCCACAGGGCTGCAGGCTGCACAGTCCCAGCACGGAGGCTGACGTGGTGCAAAAAATATTTTGCAACTGCTCAATGCTGTGTTTTTCCACTACTTGCATGGTTATTTGTGAATCAAATGGCATCTGAAAGCAATTATAACATCTTTATGTTGGATTTCCACTGAATGAACTAAAGGCTTTTATGCTTGGTGCCGTTTGGAGTTTCTTCAGTTACAGTGACTGTGTGTTTTCTGAAGTAAACTCTACCGGACACTCGATGAATGTCAGGAAAGCACTGCAGACAAATCTGCTCTTACATGCAAATGACTAAGAAATACTTCATCACAGCTGCACATCTCCCCTGTACATGGTGCAGACACCTCTTTACAAGAAGTGCGATTCAAACGTAGGAGTGTATTTTCACTGTTTTTCACAGCTTTAAGTACATAAAGCACCACTGGACCAAAGACAGCCCACCCAATATCACTCACTGTTCGTTGTAGCTGTGGATTTGTCATTTACTGTTAAATGTCAGATCTCCTTGAAGTGAAAGCCCCCTCACATAAACCCTGTAACAGGCACAATAAGGTAAACTATAAATAACATATAGGGTACATATAGGATCAGATTCTTGATGACTAATTTACACCCTTTTACTCCATTGTTTTCTATATTAACAGTATATTCAACACTCCTCTTACACAGACTAAATCCATTAATGAATTACCTCTACTTACAGTTAATGTCTGATGAGGTGACAATAAACCAAATCACTGACTACATCTGGACTGCATCAATCAGTGCGTTCACATTAGTTGCATTTTGAGCCATTTGTCACATCAGACGACATTTTCCACAATATTCAGCCTACGGCTACACTTTCCTGCCTCGTGGTTTACCAGTGTAGCTCTCTGTGCATACTTTGTAAAATATTAGCTTTGAAGCTGGTCAACACCAGATTCCAGACTAGTAAGTCATCAAGCAGCCGCATTAGCCAAAGCTCCGCAAAATGCCAAAACAACCCTTGAGTTTTATTCCCACGAAGGTTCTGTTATTCCTAAAATAGTACTCGACATCTGAGATCACTTCAATATGACCTAATATTAAAGTAATCATGATGCTGTTGAAAAATCCTTTTACTTGACCTCTTACTCAGGCTCAGAAGCAGAAAACCACTGTTCATTTACTATATCATTTAACTTTACCAAAGGCAAAACAAACATATATGAATATGCTGTTCAGTATTACTTTCAAATAATGAATCCTTGTGTACATCTGACCACCGAGAGACACTGAGGTTTGTCCATTGTAATAAGCCTCAGATTCAACTAAGTGTATTCTCAAAATCTCTTTGCCAAGCTTCAACCCAGCGTAGGTTTCAATTATCTGTCTGTGGACTGGTGTGTTTGGGGGAGGCAATGTTACCAAACCCTCCCAGGTCTCCAGCCGAGCCTACTATAATGAACCGCAGAGCTGTGTCTTGGCCAAAAGTCACACAGCGCCATGCACCTGAATATAGCAACTAAACTAAACAGCTAGTTGACAGCACCTGATGTGGTGTTGTGAATTAAGAGAAAGTTCTTCTGTTGGTCAAACACCCCCCACCTCAATATTACTCACTGGTAGTGAGACAAAAAGCACAGTGGCTTAAAATGAATTTGCCAACAAAGTTGAGTGAAATTTTAATTTCATTAATATATCGTACAGTTGGACACTGATGCTGCTACAGAGATGGGGAGATCAACACACTGTGCTGAGATACAGACACAGCAAGTGTGTGTGTGTGTGTGTGTGTGTGTGTCTGCTTTCTGTGACCTTGAGTCAAGATGAGTGAGAAAGGAAAAATACATCCCTACGGGGGATGGCGTCAGTGTGTGTGCACCCTCCAGAGAGAGAGTGTGCACGTGTGTGTGTATGTGGACATGAAGCAAAGAAAAAACTGAAATGGGGAACTGCTTTTAATATCACTAATCACATGCCTGTGGTTACAACTGATTTCAGAGAAAGACTCAAACCCACATCTCTGCAGAGTCACTGCCTGTAATATCCACTATAGTCAGACGTTTCTACACGCTTTCCCATTCAATTCTGAATACAGAAAACTGTAAAACATCGCGATTCCATTCAGTGTCATCCCTCCTGCACTTAATAGCAGTCTAACTCCAGCATGAAATTTAAAACTAACATGTCGTTGGTAATAACACAAAGGAGCCTGGCGGACTGACGATCTCCTAACGGAATGCATGCACACTGCAACCACTGCCATGTAAGACAATGAACTTCACCTGGACTATCAGAATAAGAGCATCAACAAAAATATATAAATCACCTATATACCACGTATGCTAGCAACAGGTAACATCTGGTAGAGTTTCTCTGCTGTGTTGCAGGTAGAATAAATCCATACATCACTGATCCCCGTATTTTATTGCCTGGACTACTCCACAAAAAGGTCAAAGGTCAGTCTCAGCTATAACCTCCTCAGCTAAACACAGCCTGAATGATCACTAGGGTGGAGTCCATGATGAAAGAAGTATTCTGTTTGCTTAAGTAAAAGTAACAATATCACAGTGCAAAAATACTGTGTTACAAGTAAAAGCCCTGCATTGTTACTTAAGTTTTAGCATAAAATATACTTTAAGTACTAAAAGTACTCATTATGCAGAACGGCACAGTTCACATTAGTGTACATCATATTATTGGACTATAATTACTGATATATTATTGTTTACATCATATTTAATGTTACAGTAATGTTAATGTTATACTGTATTAAACTATACTGCTGAGTAGCTTGTGAGTTTCCAGCCACACCAGGGATCAATAAAGTCTTATGATTATACTATATTTTGTTTAATTAATACAAGTCTGAAAACATGTCCATGCAAATTCTCAGTCATCCAGGTCATAGTGTGTTTATATTTATTGCTTATAAAATGACAAAACAGATTATTAGATCAATATAGTCCCCAATTCATTTTCAACTGAAGGATCAGTTGATTAATCAACTAATGATTGGAGCTATAGCCCACATCCAGCACAATCACTGCTAGATTAGGTCACCTGATAATGGGAAAGGTCTTGCTGCAAAAAAGAACACACATAAGAGAAGCACAGGTCATAAAACATGCCTCAAACAGGAGCACAGCATTCAATCAAAACCTCTGACAGTCCCTACAACACAAACACGCAGTGAACTTCATTCATATTTACTACACAGCTACTTTGTGGTGCAGTTAAGTTTGAGCCTATTTCATTAGCTGCGCTTATGAAAGTAGTTCAGCTTGTGAAACCCTCTTATTGTCCTTTGGACATTATGCCAGCAGCTCTGTTTAAAGAGGTTTTTCATAGTATTGGTTTGGACATTGTCAATCTTATTAATGGCTCTTTGGCTTCTGGGATTGTCCCAATGGCACTTAAACATGCAGCGGTTCAACCAATTCTTAAAAAACCCAATCTTGATAGTACTGTTTTATCGAACTTTAGACCAGTTTCTAAGCTACCATTTTTGTCTAAGATTTTAGAGAAAACGATTTTTATACAGTTACAGACTTTTTTAGAGAATAATGGCATATTTGAAAAGTTCCAGTCTGGTTTTAAGACACACCACAGTACCGAATCAGCGCTGTTGCGAGTATTTAACAATCTTGTGTTTACTGTGGATGAAGGTAATACTGCTATTCTGATTCTCCTAGATCTTTCGGCTGCTTTTGACACAGTAGACCATCTTATTTTGTTGTCCCGTCTGCAACACTCTGTAGGACTTCATGGTAATGTTCTTAAATGGTTTGAATCATATTTGTCTGATAGGAGTTTTGCTGTACATATTGATGAGTTCTCTTCTTCTGCTGTTCCTTTGAACTGTGGTGTGCCTCAGGGATCCATCTTGGGGCCAGTTCTCTTTTCTTTGTATTTACTTCCCCTTGGATCGATTTTTATGAAATATGGGTTGTCTTTTCATTGTTATGCGGATGATATTCAAATTTATTTGCCATTGAATGTCAATAAGAGCAACTCATTTCAGACCTTGAGGGATTGCCTGAGGGACATTAAGGCATGGTTATCACATAACTTCTTACATATTAATGAAAGTAAGACAGAATGTGTTGTAATTGGTAACTCTGGTGTCACTGGTTCTGATATTCCTAGTTTTTTGGCCTCCTACCTGAGGCCTCATGTGAGAAATCTTGGGGTAGTATTTGATGGTGCTCTTAAGCTGGACGAACAGATAAAGTCTGTAGTTAAAGCCAGTTTTTTTCAATTGAGACTTTTGGCTAAGGTTAAACACTTTCTTTCTTTTAGTGATTTTGAAAAGGCAATTCATGCCTTTATTAGCACTAAACTAGATTATTATAACGCACTGTATACTGGCATTTCTCAAGCCTTAATGTCCCGACTACAGTTGGTCCAGAATGCAGCAGCTCGTCTTTTAACTAATACGCGGCGCCATGAGCATATCACTCCAGTCCTTGCCTCTCTACATTGGCTTCCTGTTCGTTTTCGGATTGATTTTAAACTGTTGATGTTTGTGTATAAGGCTGTACATGGTCTCTGCCACGGGAGATTAGATCTGTCTGTTTTTAAATCACTTCTTAAAACGCATTTGTATTCACGGGCCTTCGACAAGTTTATTGATTGATGTATTTGTTTTGACCATGTATTTTTCTTGTTATTTTACTGTATAGATGTGTTTTATCTGGTCTTAGGTATTTTTATTATTATTATTATTTGTTTATGTTTTACTGGAAAGAACCTTGTAACGCAGGTTTAGAAAGGTGCTATATAAATAAACTTTGCTTGCTTGCTTAAGATCTCCATCACCCTGCACTTTCTGTACTTTCAGTAGAGCTTAAGAGACACCTTGGAGGACTAACTGTGACACCTGACTTCCTGTGCAACAACTAATTGCCTCCAATTTGCATGACGTTGTATAAGCTGTACAAACCTTTCTTGAACTCTTCAAGCATTGCGTCCAGCTTGGTGTCGTGGAAGACAAAGTGGACCGGGTGGTTGTAGAACTTGGTGATGGTCTTCAGGGTGGTGCAGTCGTCCGGGTCCACGAAGGCCAAGTCCTTGACGAACAGGATATCCACGATGTTGGACCTCTCGTCCTCGTACACAGGTATCCTCGTGTATCCGCTCTCCATGATCTCGGACATGGTGTTAAAATCCAACACGGTGTCGCTTTGGATCATGAAACAGTCGTTGAGCGGAGTCATGATATCCTCTACTGTTTTGGTCCTGAGCTCCAACGCGCCTTGGATCATGTTGAGCTCCTCTTTCACCAGGTCATTGTATGGCTCGGTGACTTTCAGCATCTCCACCAGCTTCTCCCGGTTGTACACAGTGCCGATCTCCTGGCCGAGGACGCAGTCGAGGAGCTTACTGATGGGCCACGACAGAGGAAAAGTTAAGAGCATGAAAAACTTGGTTAGCAGGATTGTGTTTGCACCGACTGCCAGACCGTGTCGAGAGCACAGCGCCTGGGGGACGATCTCGCCGAAAATAACAATCCCGATAGTGGAAGCTACTATAGCGCCAATCCCGGACCCGATGAGGTCGTCCAGGAGGATGGTGAGGGTGGTGTTGACGAGAACGTTGCCGAGGAGAAGCGAGCACAGCAGGTAGTTCCCCTTCCTGCGGATGGGCTCGATCTTCCGCGCGTACTTCTTCTCCTTGTCCGTGCCACAGCTCTCCACGATGCGGAGCTCCATCGGGTCCAGCGCCATCAGTCCCAGGTTGAGCCCGCTGAACATGCCGGACAGCACCAGCAACAAGGAGATGATGATCACTTGTAGCCAAATGGGCAGCAGAGACTTCTTCTCCTCCACCACCCGCAACCTGCCGTCTTTGTCGTCCAGCATGTACCACTTCTCCTCCTCCTCATCCTGGGTGTCGCGGACGCACAAGCCGAACACCTTCACCGCCTCGCTCTTGCGGAGCTGCTTAATCCTGAGGCTGAGCACTCCGGCGGTATTCTGGTTGCTTACCTCCATGGCTCCCTTCACTTCTATATCCCTCGTGTATTCGGGACAAGTCCTATTGAAGGGCACCATGATTGCACCGAAAGCATCATCCTCTTTATCACTAGAGTACAGTTCCTTGAACCTAATGAGCGCAGAGCTGTTTGGGAACAAGTGGAGCCCGTAGAACCTGAAGAGGATGTCGCTGCCCTCGGTCACCTGAATCACTCCTCTTTCGGTGGTCTCAGCCGGCTTGTCGCTCTTCTCAAGCCTCATGCCGAGTATCCGCGTCACGCTTCTCGACTCCGAAACCACCGCTTCCACATGATTGCCAGTAAAAACATAAGAAAATACAAATAAAGTTAGCGTGAACCCCCATCCACTCCAGTCTGTCGCCATGTTTATTTTTGCCCTATGCGAACGGGGGAACTGACGTCAACTACGCAGTTCCACGAGCTGATACCCAAAGATGTAGCCAATCAGCAGCGGAAACGTCACTCGCAAACATTGACCGTGCCCCCTCAATTTATTTTTTAAGGTCGACTGTTATTGTTTGCATTTAAGGTTGACCCAGCAACGAATGTTTTTACATTTTATAAAGTACTTTTCATTTTGACTGAATTTCAAGGCCAGGTCAATCTCCTAAGGAGTACCAGAGCCACTGACTGGACAAAAAACCTATTTGAATATGATAATGGTGGGTATTTTAAGACATTTTATACACTAGACTGGAAAGTGCTGCAGAGGGTGGTAAAATCAGCAGAGAAAATCATTATCTCCTCTCATCAATCACCAACATTCATCACAAACGCTGCTTAAGCAGAGACATAAGTATAACCAGAAACTCTTCTCACCAACACCACAATTTGTTCACTCTGCTGCCCTCTGGAAAAAAGATACAGTAGGTTCCAAGCCAGGACAACTCGTCTGTGAAACAGCTTCCCCCCCACAGGCCATTAGGCCTTTAAACTCCATCTAACTTGAACATTCCCTAAATTAAACTGGACTATGACAATATATTATGGACATGTGCAATGGGAAATAAAAGAGTTGTATACTGTATAATCTACCCTCATTTGGTTGAACTATTTATTCTTACTTTGTTGTTTTATCATGGACATATTGATAGTCTAATTTTATAGGTTTTTTTATACAAGTGAAGGAAACATAATTTCATCTTGCTGTGCACTATGTGTATGTTTGATGACAAGAGATTCTGATTTTGATTCTGAAACAGTTAATTATGAAAAAAGATAAATGTCAGACCTATTGACAAAGTAATTGTTGGTTGCAGCCTTATAGCTCTGCTATGATGGAATAGTTCTATCTTGCCCCAGGTTTTCTGTGTATTAATTACTTGACATAGAAAAAATAAGCAATCTGATAAACCAACTCATGGTTGCCCAGGTGAAAAAAACAACATAAATTCAAAGGCCTTACTGTTAATTCATTTTCATTAGAGTTCCTCTTCTAACATAAGATGGCAGATTAGGACACGCCAGTGGTAAATATTTCTGTTTGGACAATAGACTTTTACAATTAGACAATTTTACTGCATATTTAAAGTTCTCTTTAGTTTAAAACATTATTAATCCAAAATATTTAATTTTCTTTATACGAGTACAAAATAAAGAGAACAGATGAGGTCACATTGAAATTAGCACCATCATCAGCATCATATATCCACTGAAAAGTAGAATAAATGATTCCAACCCCACTATTTTGAGAGTAGTCTGAGAGCTGGGTTACAGAAAATGACAAAGGGAGATGAATGTTTTTTTTTTTTATTCTGAATGTTTTTTTATTCTGAATTAACTCCTTTCCTTTAGAAAAAAAGTGTATATGACTGTCTTTACTGATGACAGAGCTCCCTCTAATGTTCAAACTGCAGGTTCAGTTGTTTGGTGACCCTAAACTGCCTGTAGGGTTTGAGTGTAAGTGTTTGTCACCCTAATCTGAGGGTGTGAGAATTCAAATTTTGGACCCAAATGCAAAAGCACCAGACGGAAGTCAAAACTATTTATAATGCATTCTTTACTCAAACCTTCAAGGGAGTAACAAAAAATGTCCAGCCACAAACTGAAATCGCAAACTCAAAAGCTGGCCTAAGTACAGGAAGAGCATTTAAAAACTGAAGGGCAGTTCTTCCCTGTGACATCTCCTTTCTATGTCATATTCAGATGAGATTTACTCTACAAGACTGACTTTTTACAGAATGAAAGAATTAACATCTTAAATGTACAGTAGCTGCTCAGAGTGAAAATGAGACAGAATTTAAATAAATCACGTAAAACTCTGGTGACTTTTGACTCTAAATCGGAAACCTGATATTGGTGCTGTTACATTATAACTTTAAGTGAAAGTAATTAACAAAATCAAAGATAATTTGAACTTATTTCAGATTTGACAAACAATGTGACTTTGGCACCATGCTGGTAAATTAATTTTTGAAATAACATCCACAAAAAGGTTTATGAAACTTTAGTTATTAAACTTTTGAATTCTCTGTAATATCTTGATTTCCTCACTCGATGTGCAGAATCGGGTGAACCAGAACTCAGTTATACTATACAACAACAACAACAACAACTAGCCGTGACAGGAAAAAGAAAAGGTTTCTTTGAACAGTAAACAAAACTGCTGGTGGATATTTTTCATGAAGTTGTGTGGGTGAACCAAAATACCAATTTTAAGCACAACTAGCCACTTCTACCAAAGAGTTTTTTTCCACTTCCTCCTCATTTCTGTACACAAAACAATTTAAAAGTATAGCTGCAAGACAAACATCCTCTAAGAAACTTTATGAGAAGAGCTTATGGTTTTGTTTATAAAAGAGGACCAAAGTATTATCTGAAATCAAGGTTTAATAAGTACAAAGGTGAAAAACAGGTTCAAATAATCCAGCACCAGTAAAATGTAATAAAGGTTTATTGTTGCTCTAAGAAGCCTTTCCATCTCATATTAATTAGCTTACACAAGAAAGACTAAATGATCTGGTTTTACTCAGCTGCTAATTCTTCTTCATATAAATCAACAAAACATAATAGCTGCTATAAGCACACACTGATATGCTCATTTGGAACCCATCAGGGACGAGCCATGCATTTAAAAGTGCTGTAATACATTAAGACAGAGAGAAGACTAGAACATAATATCTGAACACTGATTTTTATAATTCACCTGCTGCACAGTTTAAGACAACACGAGATGATTTTATGTCTGTACAGAACACAACAGCAACAGTAAAGAAACAGTATACCAACAATAAACAGCTCTAACTTAAAGGAACAGTCTTACATCTTAGGAAATATGTTTGTTTGCAGAGCCAGATGCCACTCTCCTGTCTGCAAGGTAAAAATGAAGCTAGACCTTAGTATAAAGACTGAAAGCAGGGGAACTAGCATGGCTCTGTTCACAGAAACAGCATCCACCTATTCTTTTATCCCCAAAGTGCAAGCATGAAATGTTTTGGGTGGTACTGAGAGGTGAGTTGTTACCTTTGGACTAAGTCTTGCCAGCTGTTTCCTCCTGTTTCCTGCCTTTATGCTAAGCTAAGCTAACGGTCACTTGGCTATAGCTTCATGTTTATCTTATAGACAGAGTGGTACTGATCTCTTCACCTAACTCGCAACATAAAGCAAATAAATCCTTTTTCAACTGTTTAACCATCCCTTTGACAAGTCTACAGCTTTATCATGTGAAAACAGATTTGTCCAATTATCAATTAGATAAGAGATTCACTATTTGGTTGTCATAACATTGTAATAAAACTTAAGTGTCTTTCTGCTTTACAGTTTGACAACCTATGAGTGAAATAAACATTTCTAACAACCTTATATTCTGTAAAAAATTTTACACATATTTCCTAAAATATTGTATTTGTTCAAAAGTGCGGTATTTCATTTTGTCAGTTCTCCTGAATTCTAATGTCACTGAGCATAGATGTGAAAAATCATGAGTAAAATGATTAAAGGTTTTATGGAACACCACATACATCATATACTGACCTGTATATGATGCATCACTGTGTTGTCAAGGAGGAGAGGAGTTGGGGTTTAAACTGCTGAGTCACAACAACAACAAAATCCTGTTTTTACTTTTAAAACAGATTAAAATATTGTCAGTTAACTTTTGATCAACAATCCACTTAATGGACATTGTGAGAGGTCAAATGAATGAGAGGATTCCTGTCTTTTAGGTCAATGTCCAATCAGGTGCCATTTTCAGCTAAGTGCAGGTTCCAGTTAGAAAACAAGACCACAGCAGCTCAACATAAACCTTCAACCAAGAGAAGGTTTATGACTAGAAAAGTGTCTGCACATGCACAACTGTGTAACTCTGACACCCATAAGCATGTTTCTGTCTTAAACTAAATAAAAATTATGTCAGAGTTGCTGACTTACAGGACTCCATCAGATTTATGACTTTTCAAGTCATGAGGTCAAAGTGCATTTTTGCAGGGCCACTAATCCATGTTTCTGGCGTCTGCTCATGGTGGTGTTGAAGCGTATTGCTGGAGCAATTGAGAGTAGCAGGCGCTACACACAGTCTCTGGGAGAATGGAGGAAGGTAATGGCAGCTCGTTGGACACACAGCTATCACAGAACACCCCACTGCAGTTCTTACACTGTTTCTGGAGACAGAAATCAGGGTTACAATAAGACGTGACATCATTTGTAGCGATCTCTTTGCTTTCTGTGGCACTCAACCTCATACCCACTGGTTCCTACTGAAAATGGGATTGGCTCAAAGTGAATGTTCATCATAATGCAGAAACATGTCACCCAATGTAAGACACCAGCATTTGATTTGGCCTTTTTTTATTTTACACCTAAGATGTAAAGTAATGCAGCAGCCCCATTCACAGCTAAACCCAAATGAATGATGCAAGTCATACTGACATTTCTGAGAAGTTTGATTCAGTATTTTATATATTAATTGAACTTGAAATAATCTCATCTTCCAAAACCATCTGAAATCACATTACTGTTCAGTTTGTCTTAAGCCTATGTGAAAGTCCATTTATGTTGTGTTACATATAGGGTCATACCCAAGGTTTACATGAAGAGATGTTCAAACCACACCTTAAGTTTGCTTTTGATCAAATTCCTACAAAGCCATCAATGAACATTTTATTTGCCAAGAGACCAGAAGATCATTCAGAATGCTCCAGAATCAGTGTCTGTCCTTGTACCTTTGTCTTCATGAGAGAGTCGTCCTGTTCACACATCGTACAGAGGGAAGGCTGACTGGTCTCCACACATGGCTTGTGCTGCAGAGAATCACACAATAACATAGCATCAACTCTGTCATCTATAACTGGACATTAGCATGTGATACTTCAGCTGCTACTTCACTTTGTAATTGCTCAGCCACAACCTTGATGAAAACATTTTAACACTTGGATTCAAGTGAATTTAACTCCAGAATTTAATCTGGAGTAGAATCGATCTTAGACAGGATGATATCAAGGTAGAAGTAAACATGTCATCTGGTCCTCACCTGTTCGTCCTCAGATTGTGACAAGGATCTTAAAGGGGAGAGATGGAGGGGTTAATTAATAAAAATGAGAGAATGTTTTCCCATAATATGCATGCTTTTTAAAGCTGTAGAATCCAATCTCAGTACTTACGCGTTGGAGCTCAGACTGCTTTTATCCTCCTGTCCACTCTGCAGCTGCTCGCTCTCACTTTTGACTGATGGAGATTCTGGGAGATGCTGTTGTAAAAACACACTTCAGGACAAAGTAGACGGCTCTACTTGTAAGTTTGGACTGCATAAGCACAGTCTTACTTTTGGTTGGTTCTCCAGGTGTTGCCACTCCTTCTGAGGACCACTGGTTTGTCTGGATGCAGCAGTAAATTGATGCTTGTTCCTCCGTTCTCGCTCTTTTCTCAGCTCCTGCTCAAGATAAGACCTGAAATAACAAGATAAACCAAAAGGCAAAGCAGATTTACACATTTTCAACAAAAACACAGGACTGTTTAAAGGACACAGTTGAAGGTCAACAAATCCCATGAAAGGACCAAAGTCAATAATATTTTACTCTCGTTCAGTTCTTTCTGAATTTCCCACTGCCTCAGTTATGAGCCTACTTTAAAAACAGATCACAAGTATACAGTTTCATTTACTACAAGGCTCAGTAATTTACTAAAACAGCAGGGCACTGTAGTTTTTAGTAAACCTTACCCAAACAAGAGCAAATAGTGCATTCATTAGGGACTATATTTAGCTGCGCGGTACTACCCATTTGCTGCTCTAGTGAGTATTTGGGGTTAGCAGGACAGTCTAAGTGAGACCAAGTCAAAACAAATGACATTGTGTGTTCACTGTGATAAAGGAACATGTTGCGCGGTGCAGCTACTTTACATCAGGCTTTAGATATATTAGTAGGTTTGAGTCATTTTATGGGATGTGTTGACAATAAGAAAACTAAGGAATATCATCAGTCTAAAAACAAAAAGTACATTCTAAGTTTTGCCCATGCTTAGCTTCCCATCCCCTCAGACTTCACCTGTGCCTCCTCAGCTGCCCCACCTCCTGTTGCAGACTCTCGATTTTGTCTCCAAAGTCCTGTTTGAAGAGCCGGTTAGTCTCTAGGGCCAGATCCCTCTCTCTCCCAGCCTGTTTGCATCTGGTTTGAGGTGAGTGGGTTAACATAAACTTATGGCACAATGAAAACTTGATGAAAAGAAACACGGTTGGAAGGAAATGCCAAGTAAAACTCAAAATAAAAAAACAAAAAACAGATCAAACGCAATGAGGACGACAGTGAAACTTTAGCCAAAGAAGATGAAGCAGGCTGCTTGTTTATTGTTTTATTAGCCTAATGGTTACGACAGTTTACACCAATGTTATGGTCACATACAATTCAAAATTAATAAACTGATTTTGCCCTTTTCTCCTCCCTGCCCTGACACCTGAATCACCAAAATGACAAACTCCCTGGATATCAGACCCCAAAACATCAATTCAGCTTCACTGTTCTATTTTTCCTCCTTCTGTCAGTCCCTGTTGGTTTAAAAGCACAGTTTCTGGTAGTGGGTGAATTTTTGGAATAACATTACATCAAGACCACCAACTGCCAAATATCCAGGATCTTTCTGTTGGCACATAAATCATCTGTCCACAGCGGACCTTCAGACCAGCTACTCGTCTCGCAACAAAGCATTAATGGGCTGTTTGTAAAAACTGCCTCCCAAATCAAAGTGAACACATCTGTTAGAGAACACAAGGACGCTAAAGGATCAGTTCAGTCCACGCTATTCAAAGCTAATGCTGGAGAGCCACTGCAGGAGGTTGTGGGAAGATGGTTTTTATTTTTCAACAACAAAGGAGCATGGTACAGAAAAGAGAACATCCTAGTTTGGTTATTTCTATATTAGGTTGTATGTTTGTATTCAGATGTATGAAAGTGGGGAGCTACTGCTGCAGCTGGAGCAGCTTCCCTGCTGCTGAGTTCAGGTTTCTGGCCTGCTTCATCAAATGTTTCTCACTGATGCAGTGTTAAAAAAAACAAACAGGGAAAATAAATGATGGGAAAAAAAACAATGATAATGAAAGTGGAGGAGAAAAATGATAAACAGGACAGTAAGATTTGGTGACACCATTACAAACACATCTCCTAGAAATATTCAAAATACCAATTACGGCTGCAGGAGGTCATTCTCACCTGGTCTCCAGCTGTTTTACAGTCCCTGACATCTGGTTTATTTTCTCCTCCAGGCGAGCGATGACTTCATTCTTTTGTTTAGAACTGGCATCTGTGCTCTGAAGAAGATGAGCCATTTAGTGTCATTTCTTGTTTCAGTGATGTTTATTTGGATCAGTCTGATTTCAGGTTTAGCTACAATAACGAGACTGTGACAGTTACTAAGCGTCTCTGTATGTTAACTGAATGAAATGCTGTAACTAAGGTCTGCCAAAGGACGGAGCTCAACAAAAGCGGCCTATGAATCGGCAGCTGTAAACTTTCACATTGTCATGAAACGGTTAGCTTTTGACAAAACACTCTGGGTATGCAAACAGGTTTTTGACAAAAATCTTATCTGATAAAGCTGTAACATTCTGAGGAAAAGTCATCATGTATGAAAAATAAATCAACATTTATTTTTTGAAAAAGTTACATTTCAAGTGGTTAAACCCTCACACAGCAGAAAGGCTACCAGAGAGGGGTGTCACTTCAAAACTCTGACTGCGAAATCTTGGTTCTTTCAGAGAAGACCCTTAAAATGACACTGACCACAGAACACCCTGCCCCCATAAGTGCTAAACTCTTCCATCGCCACAGAATTATTACTGATTGGTGTCATGTGTTCATCATCTCTTCTCTTAACTATAATCCACAGTGTCTCAACAGCACAACACAATGTAAAATGCAAAAAAAAAAAGAGCAGATGATATTTGAATCTTACAGGGGTGACAATGTAACACGGACAAACCATCATTCCTGCACAGGTGCGGTGTCTCACCTGTGACTTGTAAATAAGCTGCTGGTTGATGGCACGGAGGTCTTCCAGCTGCTGTCGGAGCTCCACCAGAGCATCCTGCTTCTCACAGATGTCTTTCTCCAGCATCTTCATGGACATCTCCATCTCCTGCTTCATCCCAATCTGCACCTCCAGCTCCTTCTCCACATCCTGCACGGACATCAGCTTTAACTTCAGGTACGTACTTCTCATTCAGAAGACATTCAGATGTGTTTCGCATTAACAACAACGCAGACCTTGGTTATGTACTCACTGTATAAAAGCCTAAATATAGTATATTTTCACTTAGTGGCAAAAATAAACTCTGTATCATGGTTTTTCCAGAGACTTCAGCAAAACCGTGACACATCTGTGACAGTTTCCGTGATATTACAAAGATTTAAACTGTTACACAATTCGGTGTAACCATTAAGAGCCTAAAACACACCAATCGAAGCTGAGTTTCCTCTTTGAGCTGCTTGCGTGTTTCACCCAGTGCCTGTCCGTCTGCCGCCGAGTCGCTTCTTAAGGCCTGAAGAAAACAGTAACAACACAACAAAAAGCAAGATGCATTTTAGGACTGAATGACCAGTTGCATGTGGTATCGGGGAGAAGATGCCTGTTGTTTCTTGTCAGCAGTGGGAATGTTTTTCTTTATGGCCAACTACAAATGCTTCAGTTTCAATTAAAACATCCAGTATATTCAGCAGCACTTGGCAGATTGTTCAACTGTCTGCATAAATGAAGGAACATCATAACAACATGAAGCTGGCTTGTCATTCGGTAACAAATAACAACTTGCAAAAGCTTTCTGCACAGTTATGGTTTCCTAAAGTTTCACTGAGCTGGAAATATCTTTATTTATACATCTGATGGGAGCCAATAGTTAATATCTGATGACAGAAAGGCAAATGAATAAATGGCTGGCTAACACTGATCTAAAAACACTGGTTCAACAAGGAATTACAATTATCATCTGTCACACTACTGCACAAATGTTTCTGAATCCCCAGTGGGCGTCAACATACTGAACAATTCAGTATTTTTTGTGTAAAGGAGATAATATAATAACTTAATTATAAGAAACAAGTGAAATAATGAGAGTGATGATGTGCTCACCTTCCTGGACTCCAGCTGGTATGAGCTCTCCTCCTTTACTCTCTCCACATCTTCTTGTAAAGTGATAATCCTGTTATTTGCCACTGCAAGCTGTGGAGCAAAGTCAGCAGAACATTTGTGTGAACACCCGCAGCTGTGCAGAAGTAGAGGAGCTACCAGTGTGAGAGAACGACTCACCTCTTCTGTTAGCTTTGTGTTGGACTTCTCCAGAGCATCCACCTTGGCCTGGAGGTTATTTACTGATGCGCTATAAACAGCCGGAAAAAAGGAAACTGCTTCAGTCATCAGGCTCAACGAGCTGCTGAGCAAGGTGAAGAGTGAGGCGAGTCGGTCGCACTGACAAACCTTAAATGTCTGTTCAGCTCCTCCACGTAATTCTTCTGATCGAGTATTGCTGTGATCTGCCCGTCGCTGCAGGAGCAGAAGAGAAAGATGAATGAAACAACAGACAGAAGGACGAAGACACATCGTAGCATTAAAAAAAAAAAACTGTTAGCTTTTAGCCACACTAGTTGTTTACACTTGGCTGCAGCCGTCTGAAGATATTTTCATGATGAGGAAATTATTTAAGAAATATCAGAATCATTAAACATTAAAATTTATTCAATTTTTTTTGCTCAGCATCTTGCTGCACTAGGGTACATAGCCCCATTAAAACCTGGCTGTTAGATTTACACTGAAAGTAAGCCCCCAACAGATGGAAGCTGCAGATGGTGCTGCTGCAGCCGAAGAGCACCGGATCAGATTTCAAACACTTTTCCATATTTAACATTTTAACTGAACACAGCCTGTCTCATTCCAGTAGAGCTGCAACAGTTAGTCAATCCACAAAAAAATAAATCAGCAGCCACTTTTAATAATTTATTAAGCATTCAAGTAATTTTTCAAGCAAAAATGCCAAAACATCTGATGGTTTTGGACTTGAACAGAATAAGACACCACCTTAGATTCTGCAACAGGCCTTCGTCAGTGTGTACCAATGTAACTACTGTTTCCGCTTCATAAATATTTTTATTTTTTTTATTCATCTGTGCTCCACAAAACTCAGCAAAGCAAACAAAAAACTGATAAATTTAGCCTTGCAGTAAACATTACTCTACCATGTCTTCTACTTAACATCCAAACAATAATATATGGCCAAATCACACAGGACAAACATTAACTTGATGGCCAGTCTATAAATTAAACCACATCACCTACTAAGACAGAACTAAAAGCTGATGTAACACCTTAGAAAGCAATGACTATAAGCATAACAATAAAATACAATGGCCATACCAAACCCTCCTCTTGGCCCACACTATTGATGGGACTAACTACTGTTGAGACTTTCAAAGACTAAAATAGACTGAAATGCAAATGACTTTGGTTAAAGAGGAAGCAGCACTCACCCTTCTGCACTTTTACTACTGTGCCCGCCGTCTTTGAGGTACATCGAAAAATCTATCACCCCGACCTGCAGGAAATATTCAATAAGAAAGAGGAAGTCAATGACAGACACCACGCTGTAGCTCAAAGAGCGAAACTTTGCTGTTCACAAAAGACCCTTTCTTATGCGTGAGACAGTTTAGGATGTGCAGGGTGGTGTAATGTCCCATGTCTGCTTTAAATACTAAGAAGTTTTACCCTGGTTTAGACATAAATATTTTAGTAGTAACTGTAACCTCAGATTAACAAGAGGCTTGTTACTGGAGAGGCTTCACTTCACTGAACATGCAGTAACACTTGCTCAAAAGCTGATGACACACTGGCAACCTGCCAGTCCTCCCAGTCGTTCTGGGCTCATTTCCAGTGTAACAGCTAACAGAGCATGAAGCAGCAATTCCTCAGTAGTCTAAGACAGGCTGTTCACTGTCTATGGAATTTCTACAGGGGCAATGACGGGGACAGAAACAACAAGAATTTGATTGTAGAAAAAGACTAACGTAACAGGACAGCCTGATTTTAATGCTTACATAAATGCCCCTCGTTTACTTTGGTTTATCACTCCAAAAACACTTGAATGTCAAAATAACTGATGAAAGTGTTGAAACTCCTGTACACCCTTTCAACTACTGCTGCTGACATCTTTACTTATTTTCAGTTACTAGACACAAAAATGACCACCGCCACATTACGTTATATTCCAAATGCATGACTCTTTCTCTCTCCTCCAACCACTACTCAAACTTTAGGCCCACAGGACTTCGGTCTTTCTTGTGTCACTGCTGCTCTAAATGGTGGAAGTGAAAGCACAACAACCTGAGAGTCCAAGTCCTCTCCTTTCATACAGAGATTGGCATCGATGACGTTTAGTCCAACGAGCAGCCCAGCGATCACAGCTCCCTCCTCCTCCATCATGAGTGCATTCGGCTCATAGAATTCACTACAGAGAGGAGACCAGGATTTTGGTATGGTATTTATAAGCATGGGTCTTGTGCTAAAACCACTGGGGGATACAAACCCACCTGAGCAGGTCCTTTCTGTTGATGATGGTCTTCATGTAGTCAGAGAGTTTCTTCTGCATCAAGGCCAGTCGTAACCAGGCCCGCCCTCTTCCCAGAGGAGTCCTATAATCAACACAATACGTACAAAATGACTTCTTACAATATTTACTAAGCAACAGCAGCTTCCCAAAGCTCTCCAACCAACAGGACAAGTTAATCCCATAGCTTTTAAAGTAGACTGATCTTAAGCCATGACTGCCTGCCCTCTCTAAAGAACAGGTACGACAGACTTACTTGAGGCCAGGCAGGTCCTTGACACTGGCAGTGATCTCTCCTGCCTCAGGCGTCAGCTTCTCTACCAGTTCCAACGCCCCCCAGAAGGACTTGTTCTGACCCAGGAAGGTTTTCTTAGCTGACAGTTGAGAGACAGTATTTACAGTATTTATCATTTTATTTTGAGGACTCTGTGTGACTGAGTCATCATACTGGATATGAAACAGACAAAAACAAACCCACTGGCTTCAGCAGAAACAGAACATTTAACATCTAATTGTCATTTTTATCTCTTCGATGTGCATCTGGTTGGTCTAAATTGACTGTGAGTGGCCGGGTAACAAATATTCCTCATAGTTGCACCAACTGTGGATGTTACATGTACACTGAGATTGAACTGTATGCATGGTGTGCACGTATGAAGGTGCAATGTGCACTATACATACTCTTTAACCCATGTTTCAGACAGTGCTCCATCACAACAAAGAACTGCTGGAGAGGTGCATAGTCAGAGTCAAGTGTGCGTCCAAGATTGAGAGCAGACTCGATCAGGCCCTTGATGCTCAGCTTCGCCATGTTCATCAAGTTGAGCCTTTCGATTGCAACGGGATCTTTGGGATCTAAAAAGACAAAAAACAGAGAAAAGATCCTTCTCATAGTAATGACATCGATAGAGGTCTAACAGCTGGAGTGACTCAAGGGCTAAACTTAACATAATTCTAGCAAGTTCTGCATTTTGTTCAACACTACACAATCCACTTTTTTCCAGGAAGTATAAGGTTTTAACAGGGAAATGTAAGATGAAGCACAAGGCCTTTAGTAAAACAGTAAGGGAGAAAGGTTATGTTAAATCTACAAGTACAAAACTGACTTTATGCTTTTAATGCAGAACTAAAACAAGAAATAGATTTAAAAGACAACACGGCTGAACAAGGAAACATTGCTAAACTTAATAAAGATCCTCTATGTTCAATGCCTGTATGACCCATCCATGTGTGTATTCCTAATCCATTATTTATGCCAGCAGTTAACAGACCCTGAGAGGCTTTTAGTGGAGCAAAGCAGGGTTGTGCTGTCCTATGTCATTTACATTATTAACACATGTATACATTTGGGCTCTAGTTTGCATTTACATGGACTTCAGTACAGAACATGAAGATCTGACTTCCAACACAAAATGACAAGCAGAAGGTTATTAACACACACGTGTGTTATGTTATTGCTAAAACTGTGTAAATCTGCATCAGGGCTATTGTTTTAAATACTCAGATTTCAATAAGAGAGCTTTAGCAGCACCACCATTTACTCACCCAAGCAATTAAATACTGTGATAAAGTGGACAACTGGTTAGTTGAATCATGTACGAGACAAGTCTAATGGCACCTAATATAAATTACATGTGCAATGGTGATGATAAATAGAATACATGCTAAAAATTATTTTCCAAATGTACATAGCCAAGATATAATGTCAATGTTGGTTTATTTATTTCATTAATTTGCTGTAATGCCAACAACTAGCCTGCCTGACTAAAAGAAACTTAACATACTTTCTACATTTCTAAAAACTCTAATGACTGAAGATGAGATTTTCCTCTTCAATAGTAGACAGTTCACTTATAACAAGGAAGCATTCAAGAATTCCTCTGCTACACACAAAAAGAAGGAAACAACGTATCTGAAAAGTGAATTACAAAATTAATGCCACATATTACTTTGATTTGAGTAAAAAGCTTAACATTTAACCTTAAAGTTGTGCACCTGTGAAAGCTGGACATGTGGTAATGCTGCAATAAAAAGAAATCAGAAGTGAAAACTGAATACCGAGCATTCCTGATGATAACCTCATCATTAACTCAGAACATAAGAGACATTTTTGTCTTACAAATGTTTCTGTTAATGGTCAATGTCATTACATTTGACCATTAACCTTCTTCAGAGACGAAGGGCTGCAGTGTTGAATTTGCCACCTGCCTGCTTTGCACTGACAGAAGGCAGGGTAACAGAGGAGGGGGGGTCTTGTTGGTCAACAAATACTGTGCACCCCATCAAATCCAAAGCAATAATAGAAATAAAGTGAACACCGCTGATTTGCACATTTGATAAAGCAAAGTATGTGCTCAATGCCCAGATCTGATTTACGGTAACTACATTCTCATGACAAAACAACCTGTACTTCCTGGTTGTTTCGTTGCCAGCCCAGGATTATTTACAAACAGCGTCATCCTGCTGTGTAGCTCTCAGGAACATCACACCATCTCTCCTAAAAATCCATCATGACACAGCCCCATCTGGACACATGACCACGGTTCACCAGTTGAATCGTGTAGCATCTGGGGACCTTGTGAGACACCACGCCCTAACAGAGCTCACACAAATCTCCTGGGATGCTGAGCTAATCTGTCACGTTACCTTCATGGGCCGGCTCCGGGTCTGGGGTGAGGGAGATGTCGTTGAGCTCGCGAAGGCACAGCCACTCACCATCGACAGATACACGAAAGTTACAGAGATAAATGGTCTCGCGGGCGGCCTGGGTGATCTTGTCGGTGGTGGGAGTCGGGGTTTCGCTCTGAGGCGTCAGATCAGACATGATGACTCAGCAGATACGAGGCAAAACCAACACCACCGAGGGAAAAAGGCGTAGTGGCTTTTGTTCCACAAACCAGTGAACGCCACCCAAAAAATAAGAGGTCAGAGAGAAGAGATCAGAGAGAATGAAAAGAGTATCAAAACAAAAGGGAGAAAAGGCCAAGCAGCTTTCAGCAGGTGTTAGAACGGGTGCTGCTTTCCCTCCTCCTCCTCTTTAAGCCTGCATCCTCTTCTCCTCCTTGTTACAGCTCAGTGAAATACGCTGCTGTCTTGAGAAAGGCTGCCTGCCCTCCTCTCCTCCACCTCCTCTTCAGCCTCTTATTATCCCTTTTGAGCAGAATAGGAATTTAAAATTTAAGAGCACACCGTCCTGAAAATCACAGCCCTCCTCCATTCACTCTGATTGGACTGGCTGCGCACCGCAGTGTATGCACTGGGTGGGTGTCAACCAAGATGGCCGACAGTAGTGCTGGGTACAGCAACACACTATCACGTGAGCAGATGGTGCATGCGTAAAAAAAGAAGGGGGGTTGGGGGGGGTCCCTAGAGTACCCAGCCAATGCTAATGATGCAGCAGAGGACACATCAACAGGGTTATTTGGCAGTGCAATCACTGAGCTGGCTGCAGCAGCACAGCAAAGCTAGTAATAAGGCCAGAGGTCCTGGGTGCACATGGCTATTGTATTATTTTAATGTCCACTTAAGAAAACCAAGCGGTGCAATTCTTATAACACCAGAAAAGACAGACAAGCACCCACACTTCGACAGAGTTTCTAGAGGCCTAGTGCATGTTGACAAAATGAAAAGCCAGACTTGATATTGATGAGGAAATGATATTTAGCAGAGGACTTCCAGAGGACAATACACAGTGATAAAACAGAGAAGGCAGCAAACATCCATACTGGTGATGCCTCCACCTGAGAGTTCAGGCATTTTGCTCAAAACATGACAGAAATTATTAATTGATTAACAAAATAGTTGCAAATTAATTTTCTATTGATCTTCTATTTGAATAATCAACTAAATGCTGCAGCTCTTCAGGAAAGCCTCATTACTGACCTACTTATACATAAGTGTGTGATGACTTTATGGCTACAGTCAGTGCATATGTCCTCTTAAAACAGTGCAACGATCGTATGAATCCAATGTGAAATGAGTTTACCAAAGGGAAAACTGTAGGTGTAAGGGCAGAGACACACCAAGCTGAAGTGAAATAACTAGCTGCGACAAAGGCCGACCTCAGCGTAGGATTTATCTGGACCGGTCGAGTTGAAAAAGTGACACTTGAACACACTGCAGAGACTACAGCCAATGGCCGACTAGCACATGTGCCTGCTTGAGAGAAATAACTTCAGCTACCAGCAGTTCGTGCCATCTTAATTTGCCATTCAGAAAGGAAAAGAAGAGCTAAAATGCTGAAGTATAGGCTATAAACAAAACAAAGCTTCCCTGACAGACTAGTGGTTATGGTGCAGCACTCTCGCCACTGATGCCCGGGTTCGAGTCAGGGGTGTGTCAGGAAGAGCATCCGACGTAAAACGCGTTCCAAATGTCAACATGCGAATCGTCAGTGTGGTGACCCCTAACAGGGAAAAAGTGTTCATGAGCTATAAACAGAACACCTCTAGGTCATAACAGCTGCTGTTTATAGCTGCTGCTATTTGAGAATATGTGGGATAAGAAGTTGTAAATGATGCTGCAGTTCTCTGTCCCTGGTCTTTTGGTTGTTAAAGAAGAAAGGGTGTTATGGAGGCAAAAAGACAAGGACAACCCGCACTAAATGGGTGAAATACAGCAACAGATTGAAGAGGCTTTCCCTAACCTTTCTCTTCTGGTGCACTGATTCACTAAGCTCAACAGCCAATCAAAGCGGTCTCTCTATCACAAACAGGAGTGCCCCAGAGCAAATAATCAAGTCAGTCAAAAGAACGTGACACACAGGAAATCTACCACAGAGAAATGCTCATAAGGCAAATGGACCAAGCTTTTAATCCACATACTTTGTTGATGTTATTGTTAGGTATTTTTTAGTCAGATAGGTATTGGTTAGGTACTTGTTGTTTTAGAAAGGTCTTTAGTGTAGACAGGATGTCTAGCTCAGGCTGTTAAATGCTTACTCATTTCCACGAGTTACTCCAGGTTGTTTATGTTCCAGGATAACTAGATAGAAAGTTGCTACTGTATGATATGTTCAGCCGTAATCTTAATC